GCGCCCCCCCCCCCCCCCGCCCATTTTTTTCCTTCTTTTTCTCCCATCCCTCCACTCACTTCTGGTCCACAGAACTATTTGTCTTAAGTGCCTGCTTGCTGTTCCCCGTGCACGAGGAAACTGGTAGAGCTGCTCTTGCTTCACTGGCCTCTGGAGCCAGCAAAGCTGATGAGAGCTGCAGTCCTGGCAGAGGAGCCGGCAGGCTGCAGGTGAAGGCAGCAGAGGGTCTACTGAGTTTGAGCAAAGGGCTCTGCTGTGTGAGGTGCCCAACCTTCATGGTGAAAGAGGTACATCCTTAGCTAAGCTTTGTAGTATCTTCTCTCTCTCACAGGTAGCATCAATGTGCTGCGTTGGGTTAGAAGCATGGGTTTTTTTTTTTTGATCAGGGTAAATGAACCTGCCATAGTGTTGTAAGCTGTTTAGTTTGCAAAGTAGAATTTTCAGTTACAGTAGATGAAAGATTGCTTTCGCAATACTGGATTTTTATTTTATTTTTTTAATTATTGGATATTTTAGCTATGACCATCTGTAATTGTCCTCAAAATGCTCATTTTGGTTCCTGTGTCTGCTGGGTAGAGTGGTTGCCTCTTGCTTCAGTTTCCTATGGCTATATCCTGTTTTGCATGATTAGTCACTGCCTTTTGTGGCCTTGGGATTAAGTCATTTGTTCGTAGTTATATGGGAAGTTTATGACAGGTTAGGGTTTTGGAGGCTGCAGTAGGCTGCTTAAATTATCAATGCTTTGTTTTCTTGACTAAGGATGAAATTTTTAGGGCTTCTGCTTTAGAAAGTAAGTGGGACGTAACTCCGTTTCTCCTTGAGGTGAACATTAATGTTGTCATTGCTCTTACATAAGTAGTATTGCTTCAGCTTTTATTTAGTCTTGGTGTTAAGCTGTAAAGTCGGAGTTGATGGTGAAAAGATCAGCAAATCTTACTCCTTGCAATCGATAAGGTAGTTGGGCATCTCTTTGAATCTGTTCCTGTGTTGTTTGATGGAACTGGCTAAAGTAGAGGTTCCAGATGTGACGTCCAAATGGTGGAAATCAATGCAGTATTGCTGCATGTTGAAGACATCAGCAATATGAAATCATAGGCTTAATTATGGGAGAGGATAAAATTGTTTTTAGATGTTCCTAAATGAATACAATGAATATTTAGTGTAGGATATTTGAACAGAGGCCTTGGAACTTGAGTTAGCGTGAAATTTAAAGTTACATGTAAGCCACAAAAATAAATTTCCATAACAATTTTAGGGGGAATAGGGAACGAAGGGAGAATTGTCTGGAGTGACACAAACTAGTTCACAGGTGACAGTTCCAAATGAGTGAGCCTGAAATTGGTGCCTAAGCTAGTGGTACTTTGTGCTGTGAATGAGAACCCTTAAAAAAGTTTTAAAAAGTTTAAAAACCAAAAAGCTAGCCTCTTGATTTTTAAATTGTACATGATCAAAGAGTTGAACTGTTACTGGTGCTATCCTAAGTAATATTGGAATGAGTTTGATATTTGTTCTTTAAACAAACCTATGGGTTATTATAAGAAGGGTCTTCATGCTGAAAGCTTAAGTTCTGATCTGAGTTTAAGAAAGTGTCATTGTTTAGAAATAATTTGCTTGCAGTAATGGGGTTACCTCATTTAAACTTTTGCCAAGGTTATAATAACCCTTACAAAACACTCTACAAAAATAGAGCTCTTCACAATATGCTAAGAAGGGACTCTCAAGGCAATGGCCAGGTGTGCTGTGTACAGAAAACCTTGAAGATCACCATTTTTACAGAATACTACAGTAGTGGAAATTTTCGGTTTAGGAATGCTACATTTGGTGATCTTTATTTAAAAAGAAAAAATACTGTGAAGGATTCATTTCATTCTTTGCTGTGGTTTGTCATGTGTCTGTGCAAATACCTGAGCGCGGGGTGGTGTGCGGCAGCAGGAGTGAGCAAGCCAGCGCGCTGGTGTTGTGCGTCTTGGTGGCAGTCAGACTTCAGCCTCAGAAATGGTAATATCCAAGTGTGTTGCAGCACTCTTGTTTCTATCAATGTGCTGTTTTTTTTTCCTGCATGCAGTTTTGATTATTTTAGCAAAATAAGAGACCATTATTTAGAGTATTTTGATGATCCATCACTTGCTGTAATTGTTTTACTTGGTCCTGGTTGCTTTGCTGGCGTATTAGCACAGTTTTGGGGGAAAACGCTCAAAAGATTAATTTTAAATTGTTTGGTCCTCTGGAACATGATGCGTTTATTTAGAGGGCTGGCTGAAGAACTGAAATGAGTCAATTTAAGGTTGAAGATATGACACTTGGTGATCTGATATGAGCTGTACTTGGTGGGGAAGAAGTTTCTTCAATTTGTAATGAAATTGGCCGTAACTTATCACATCGTGTAAGGTATGCCTTTTGACTCTTCTGTTTGTGGCATCTCTGAGCATTTGAAAGAAATCTTGAGGATACTGTGCAGAAATACAACATGTGGTCTTTGACTGTGTTCTGTGCTATTGCAGCTAGGGAAACCTACTGAGAAAATAACAGTTTTTGTTTTCATAATACTCTAATGAATGCAACTACTATTTATACTGATTTAAAAGTTAATGATGTCTGAAAGTGCCCATATGTTAAAGGAAACAGTTAGAGAATACATCAGTCATTATAGTAGAAAACTAACAGTCAGTACATTTTACATAGTCTAGATTGGATCCAAGTGTGTAAGTAACTGATAAAGTCGCGATGTACTTCTCAGAGGTAGAAAGTAGGAGATGCTCCTATGGCTCTTACAACAGTGAATCTATAGGGGCAAAATTATTATTTGGGATATTAGTAAACTTTATTTGAAAGGATTCAGACTTTAGAAATGGCACTGGATGTGTGCTGTATATTCTGGAAAGGGAATAAATCTTGGGAGTGCACAAACCTTACCCTTGTTTGTGACTGGTACCCTGTTATCTCTTGTTATGGCAAAATAGTTAGTTTAAAAACCCAATTCTGTTCTTGGGTAAAAACTGGATTGAAAGAATTCTTCCAAAATTTGATGACTGAGATGCAGGATGTTATCATTGCTGTCCTTTTTGTAGCAGTTGCATTGGAGAAATGCCAAGTCTTCTGCAATATTATTTTCTTTATTAAAACTCAGTAGGATTTTTCGTTATGTACCTAATATTCTCCGTCGGTTATATATAAAACTTTCAGAATATATGTTTAGAAATGGTGGTCTGATGATGGTTGTCAGTTTTTCCTCCACGAGAAATATGAAAAGGATGTGTTATTTCTAGTTATTTCAGCAGTTGTGGTGGCTTCTCATTTTGTAAGTGGGCACCAAGTAACTTGCGTGTTTAGTGCATCTCTAAGTAACTTGCGTGTTTAGCGCATCTCGTCAGGAGAGGAGGAAGACTTCTGTATCTCCTGGAACACTGATCTGTTTTTCTCTCCTTTTCAGGTTGTCACGGAATAAAATGGATGGTAGCTTTGATTGTGATTGTGGTGAGCTGGAGCCACCTGATCATTAACAGAAGGCATCTTTTGTAAATCAAGAGCTGCCAGTTTCCTGTTTAACTAGACTGTAAACAAAGGAGAGAAAAGGAAGAAAAAGTAGTGCTTTACCAGCACCATAGAATGACGCTGCTCAGGACCAGTCCAACACTGAATGTATCTGCACTGTGAGGAGGAGGATGTTAATAGAAGCCTATTATGTGCATATTTATTCACATTTTTGTTAAATGTTAACCAGTTTAGCACAGTAGAGCTGAGTGCATAGTATGTCATTTCATTCCGTTTGAGTTTCTTGTGAGTATTTTCTTTGATGTCTGCAGAAATGCTGCACCTTTCTTGAACTATGAATGCTGCAATCTTTCTATCTTCTGCTCAGTTTGAGTTATAGAGCTCGCAGGCTCTAAATTCAAGGGGACACAACAGGCCTGGCTGGCTCATAATGAAATGAGAGTGTCAAGAAACCATCTTGCAGTCAAAGCCAAGTGTTTCTTCTCCCTTTCTGTAAGACCTTTCCTTCAGATACCGGTGGAAGTGTCTCTGCGTGTTTACAGAAGCTTACTAGTTTGAGGAAAAAGAAAGGTAAAGAATTTTAAAATGGCAGAAAAATTTGAAAGTCTCATGAACATTCATGGTTTTGATCTGGGCTCTCGGTATATGGACTTGAAACCACTGGGCTGTGGTGGAAACGGCTTAGTTTTTTCTGCTGTCGATAATGACTGTGACAAAAGAGTGGCTGTCAAGAAAATTGTCCTTACCGATCCTCAGAGTGTTAAACATGCTCTACGTGAGATCAAAATTATTAGAAGACTTGACCACGATAACATTGTCAAAGTATTTGAAATTCTTGGTCCTAGTGGAAGCCAGTTAACAGATGATGTGGGCTCCCTTACAGAACTGAACTGTGTTTACATTGTCCAGGAGTATATGGAGACAGATCTGGCTAACCTGCTAGAGCAAGGCCCTTTACTGGAAGATCATGCCAGGCTTTTCATGTACCAGCTGCTACGTGGGCTCAAGTATATTCACTCTGCAAACGTTCTGCATAGAGATCTCAAACCAGCTAATCTTTTCATAAATACCGAAGACTTGGTGCTGAAGATTGGTGATTTCGGTCTTGCACGAATCATGGATCCTCATTATTCCCACAAGGTATGTGCCGAGTGAGAATATTCAAGAGAGATAATGACAACCATGCCTTCTTAAAATAGGATCTCTTTCACCTTTGCAGAATTAGATAAGACTGCCAGTCCTTGTCTGGGTATTTAAAGTAATGTTCACCTTAAATGAGTAGTTGATGGCAGGACTCCAAGAGGGAATGAACTGATCTAACAGCTCAGGGTAGGGTGTACTAAGCTCCTTTTTCCCTGCTCCTGTCTCTTAATCTGGTGCTTGTTAGGATCCTCTGAAGGGTGACTCAACTCACTTAAAGTGTATGTGCAAGAAAGTGTTTTTGTATGTCAGTACAGCTGGCTGCTAGAACATCAGAATTGTTTCGCTTTCATTGACGAGTTCTGAGGCTCTTGTGCCTTGCTGGGTAGCCTGTTCCACTTCCTGGTTTTAGCCAGTTATTCTATTATAGAAAATAAATATCTGGCTAGAGTATTTTGGGGTTACTAAAACATAGTCCGTAGAAGACCTCTTAATGGGTAGGATATCATGGTAGGGGTCACACAATAGAGTTCACCTTCATCCGGGTGACTACGTTTCCTGAGCAGAACTGAAATGCTTGCAAATAGAGTAGAACAGATCTTTGGATGGCGTGTTTTGTCTCAGATGGGAACAGTTAAATTATTACGACTACTGCAGGCATAAAATTAAAAAAAAAGTTTTTTGTTTGTTTTTTTTTTTTAATTAGATGTATTCAGAAAAGCAGAGTGTGCACAGTGAATAAAGACCCTGAGAGGCATAAGTATAGAAGCCCTAGATAAGTTTAAAAATGGTGTGCATTCATATTGAGAAGTGTGGCTACTCCCTGGGATTTATTTAGAGATACTGTCTTCCTGGTTCAGGTAATGTTTCATAAGGGGGTTCATTATTATCTCATTTATTTTGCATCTGGGAATAAGAAAACTTCTGCTGCAGTCCCTCATTTGATTAATAAATAGTGTCATATTTGTATATTGCTGTTCATTCATAAAGATATTGCAGTTCTGTTTGAAAAGTAGAAATAAAAGAATAGATGTTATTTGCATGCATGGTATGCTGAGGGAATGCTGGACTAGGAGATGGCATGTGGTCTAGTGCTGTCTCCTTATCCCTAGGAGCTTGAGTCAAAATGTTGAAGTAGGTAATGCATTAAAAATTAATAAATAATTAAAAAAACATTCTTCCTGAAAAAGCAAGTAAGCTTTTGGTTTTTGTTTTGTTCTTTTTTTATTAGGGCCATCTTTCTGAAGGATTGGTTACTAAATGGTACAGATCACCCCGTCTCTTGCTTTCTCCTAACAACTACACTAAAGCCATTGACATGTGGGCTGCAGGTTGCATCTTTGCTGAAATGCTGACTGGGAAAACCCTCTTTGCAGGTGGGTAGAATAAGAACGTGTATGTGTGTGTATTCCTAAAAGAAATGACAGTTCTTAATCTTGCTTAAAAAAAAAAAAAAAGTTGATTCTCACAGCTAGTGTCAATTCATACTGGCTGTCAGGATATGCTGTATTATTATACGTTTGTATAAGCAAACTATATATATATATATTTTTTTACAGTAGAAAATGTTTAAATTTGTTATTCATACCAGTCTGTATTTAGATAACTACCAGAATTTAATTTAGTGCTCACATGTATGGTAAATTGGTCTTTTATTATGTTAAACTAAATCTATTGGAGGCAAGGGAAGTGTTCTAAATGGGTATATCTTTTAATAAGGTGATATACCCAGGAAGTATTTGAGGATGATGAGTGTTCCGAGTATTGTTTTATTAAAAATGTAGTAGACCTAATAATTTCTAACTGTCTTATATTTGAAGTTATGACAGAATAGGCTTTCCTTTCCCAATTCTTTTTTGCCATCTGCAGATTGTTTTGACCTAAGAAAATTCCCAGCTTCAGTCAATTTCAGTTTGTTTCTTGTGTTTCAGTGGTACAGGCAGGACTTTGAGGTGGGACATACCTGATTTTAAACTGGGATATAAAATTCAGTGTGCCATACCAGGGAAACTTGTAAATGTTTCCAGTGTCTCAAAATGTTTCTGGTGAGATAGGAAGCAATGCTCTAGTCTTTTTGGGTGCACCCATATTGGTACTTCAGCTGGGATCAGGAATACATTTTTGGCGCAAGTCTTCTGATCACGATGCTGTACCACGTTGCTGATGGAGCTCCGTGTACAAAGAAGAGTCTTGTTAGATAAAACGAAACTGCCTTTTGCACTGTAGGAGCTCACCTGAGGTGCTCCACCTGCTGATGGCATTCAGCCTGTGTGAGCAGATGAGCTAGTCTGGAGTAAACCCCCGAAATGCTTATGTTGTAGCCCCTGGGTCTCAGCAGCAGCTGTCTTACTCAAGTTTGCTCCTGGCTTTGCTTTTGTTGGCCCACATTACTGTGCTCATATAGATAAAACCTCTATGAACTGAGCTTGTATTTCAAAGATCACATTCCTTTAGATACATGGGGACTTAAAGCCACACCTCTGCAGTAATTCTTAGCTTTATGCATCCAGATAATTAAATTGAGTGCTTTTTCTCATTAAGAACTATTAATAGAATACTGTCACCTTGAAATCATAATTTTATAGAAACTAGCACTTAATATATGAGGAGGCTTTTTTTTTAAAACTTGCAATGAGTTGATAACTCTTTCAGTGAATAACTACTGGAGCAATGTCCCCAATGTATGAAATGTTCTGCTAGTAAAAGATGTATTAGATTTCCACTGTGTTAGTACCTGAAAATGTTGGCTCTTTTATCAGAAAATAATGAAAAGTGGGGGAAAGCTCGTGAATTTTAGGATTTTGCATCCAGTGATGCAATTGCTATGTAAAGACGTTACTAGCATTTTGCCTTTTTTAAAGTAGCGTTTGAAGTAATGTGCTGATGCTGTGTTCTAGCTTGAATAGAAACATAAAGCTGTGTACTTGCAAGTATCCGCTTACTTGTTGCGTATCAGTGTCTTCTATGTTTTTACTTGCTTTGAAAAGCAAAACTAGCAACCCACAAAAGCTGACTTGCAGTTGTGATGTCTGCTGTGTTTGTTGCCTGACCTTCTGCTTGCTTTGACCTTTGCTAACTGTTTCTTACTGGCTCTGGGATATCCACAGTTTGATCACCGTCATCAAACACGGACACTGTTTTGCTTCTGGGCACTTTGTCCCTGCCTGGGTAGGATCTAACATTTTGCCTGGAAATTGAGCTTCCTGCCTATGATGGAGGAAGAATGGTCTGCTCTGTTCTGAGCTTTGTGAACTCATTTAAAGTTTACTTTCTTCTATGAGCTTAAGACAGTGTACCCCTTAGGGAGGCAGGTTTTGCTTTTGTGGCTCCTAGGGACTTGTGGACCTTTGTTCCACCTTTCTGATTTGACTTTTTTCTCCCTCTTGCCAAATTGGAGTATTGGCTTAGATGTTTTGGATTCTAATTCAAAGGCTGGATTAAACTGTTCTGTGAAATAAAGTGTAACACCAGATTATGCCTTAACTAATGAGTTGGTCAGTTTTATGCGCCTGCATTTCAGACAAACACGGGGAGACACTTGAGATAAATACTTGACCAAACATGGAAGGCCAAGTGGTGTTTTGTGATTCTCGTGAAATTCTCTTCAGTTTTCATGGCCTGTATTTAATCCAGTCCATTAGTAATATTGCTAATCTTGACTTTTTTTTTAATCTCCTTTTCTTTTTTGCTGACAGAGAAAAAAGTTTTGTGTTCAGTGAATTGGATTTTGGTCTACTGAGAATTTAATTGTTATGTATTTGCATCTTGGTTTATGTCAGCACATAGCCTACAGCTTCCCTAAGTAATGTTAAAATCGCTTTGTTTTACTTTATTTAAATGGAGAGCGGGTCATATCACTTCTGTTTATATAGGAGGATACATAAAACTTAAAACTACTTGTTTTGTGAAGATAACTGTTCAAAAGGATTTTTGATACATTAGTATTTGCCAAAAGTTTTTATTAGTCTGATAGTTGTACAGTGATCTAGATTTTTTTGACTCAGTCTAATAAAAATCTGGAATTTGTAGGCTTATGTGCCATAGTCGCATTGAATAGGTATCTATAAAAATATTTTTAAATGTGCGCCTCTGATTAAATTAGCAGTACCGTAGCTTTTTGGCCTAAAGGAAAGTGAAGTTAATATGTACATTTAGAAGGGGGAAAAGGTTTGAGGGTGTGACCATTAACTTATCCTAACTGTCTGAATAAAAATCCCTTGTGAAGTTGTTTGGAGGGAGGATTTGGTTAAGTTGCTATTTGCTGCAACTTCCGAACTAACCCTTAGGAATCCTGCTTTCTGGAAAGCTTAAAGGAAAGGGATGAATAGTGGCAGATCAAAATTGCCGAATACCTGGGACAAGGGAGGGAAGGGAAGTCAAGTCAGGAATTTAATAACTTTTTCAAATAAACAACTTACGTAATTCTTTCTTTCAAATATTTTAAAATAAAATTTTTAATTAATTCAGCCTTTTCATTCCGCTTTAATTTCAGAATGGGTATGACATGAGATAAAGATAGACTAGAATGTGATTTCTGGTAAATCATGGACCGTATAGCATCTGATGGATTATTTTAAATAATTTGTAATAGTCTGAAGTAAGCAAACAATTTTTTTGATCCTTCAGATAACTTTGCCCAACTGAATCACTACCGTCTGATGTAAAGTTGGTATCAGTCATCTCTTCTTTAATGATTTTGCCTCAGCTTTTATTTAAATCATCTGGCAGCTGTGTGGTAGGGTGGCCAGTGCAGACTGTCATGCAAACCGCTGCAGTGAGCCTGCAGTGTGTATATTTTTGAGACAGTACAATCTGTTTCTGACTCCATTTGTTTTTGTATATAATATCACGTGCTTTAAAACATTGCTAAGGATTGCCCAAAGCTCCCTGGCGAAGGAAGGAAACACTCATGCAAACAATCCTATACATCTTCGTCTGCTAGCTGAATCTTTAGGGTGGTGAGTGTTGCTGGGAGGTGAACAATAGGTTGCGGTAGGCAAGTTGTGTTTCTTGGTACATGAATTTTAATGTTGGTATGGAAATAAGGTTGTCATTCATTTATTCAAAGTGGATCCACTATGTATGCTGTTATCGTTTTCAGGGTTTTTTTTAACCCAATGATACTTCAGAGACCGTTAGAAGTGAAATAACTTAGATATTTTTATCATGACTTTATAAAAACTTACTAAAATACTTTTCTGTTTTGTTGTGTAAATGATTATAAACTGATTATATCAGTTTTCAAAGGCAAATAAAATTCCTTTCTAAGGACTTTCACTGCAGATTGTTGGAAGTGTTGTCTTAAGGTTTTTATTAGTGTTTGGCATTTGTTGGTTTTTTGCCTCTTACCTTGAATTTTATTTTAAAGCCACTACCTATTTACCTTTTCATTGTGTCAGAAGCTTATGGTATATTAACACTACACTTCAAAATATTTGATAATTTAAATTAAAATATAGTATTTTTTGTTTCTTTAGTGTTTTTTTTTTTTAAACGGCTTACACTACTTACCTGGCAGATATTTTCATCTTGTATCTAACAGTAATACAGGATTTCAAAGCAGAATACTAGTATGAACGTGAACAGTCTGTCAGGTTTCTAGCTGAGCTAAACCATGACTGCTTTTATTGATAAGGGACTGTATAAATCAAAATTGGGTCAAATATTGAGTGAATGAGGTGGATCCGCTGAAGGAGGCAGGCTGCAGGATATTGGCAAAAAGATACAGTATTGATAGGGTACCTTGCCCTTGGTTTTAACTGACAAAAACTGAAGGTGAGGTATCTTTATCTATGTGCAGCAGCTCTGTAGTTCTTCATATCCTACACCATTTTTGAGAGCTTTGCACATTTAGCGTCATTCAAATTTAGAGCTTCAGCCTTTCCTCTGTTACGGGAGACACTAGTCTTCACAGCAAGTAGCTGCACAGAGCACAAAGTTTTGCTATGTCTTTTGTATGCATGGATCAAGAGTGTGTGAAGTTTAAATGACAGCTTGTATTTTCTCCTGGTGCTTAGGTGCACATGAACTTGAACAGATGCAGCTGATTTTAGAATCAATTCCTGTTGTACATGAGGAGGACCGTCAGGAGCTTCTCAATGTAATTCCAGTTTACATTAGAAATGATATGACTGAGCCACACAAACCTTTAACTCAGTTGCTTCCAGGCATCAGTCCTGAAGGTAAGTAGTTCAGAAAAAATACTTCCTATATTTCAAAAATCATGAAATAGTGAACAGCTTTACAGTGTGATTGGTAAAAGCAAGTTTCATTTAGAAGAATCTGTACATTCTCTGAAGAAAAGCTGTAGTCAGCTGTTGTAAGAAACATTTTAATTACGTGATAACTACTTGGTCATCTTTGGAGCAGAATTATGCATTTCTGCTGGACCTGTTTGCACTGGAAGGCTGATGAAATTGCTTATATTTTGAGACACTAGCCCTCCAAATCCAAATAAACATTGGAATGGAGTCAGTTTAAAAGGACTATTTCTCAAAAAAAAAAAAAAATTTTTTTTAAAGGAAGTCCCAAAACAAACTGTTTTGAATCTTAGCTGCTGATTAACAACCCTGTTGAATGACAGTTATTGGTAGATACTGATTCAACTTGAAGCATTCTGTCTTTTGTAATTTTTTCCTGTTCTAAGTTAAATTATTGTTGATGTTAGATTGTCCTGCTTCCGCTCTTCTAGGTTTATGGCTACGTAATATCTTTTTGGCAGTATAGGGTGAGTAGCTGATTCTGCGCAGGTGAGAAGATTTTAGTCAGGTGCTCAGCTATAGAGCAAGATACTGCATCTTAATCTTCGATTCTAGGTGCTTGAAAGCTCCATGATCTCTTACTTAGTTGTAACTTGCTTTTTCTCTGCAGCACTGGACTTTCTGGAGCAAATTTTGACATTTAGTCCCATGGATCGATTGACAGCAGAAGAAGCTTTGTCCCATCCTTACATGAGCATTTATTCCTTTCCGACGGATGAGCCTATTTCAAATCATCCTTTTCACATTGAAGATGAGGTTGATGATATTCTGCTGATGGATGAAAGTCACAGCCATATTTATAATTGGGAAAGGTAAGTTTATTGCGTACTGTGACACACAGTGCGACTCAGTTATGTATTTGAAGTCATTGTTGCTTCATGGGCATCACTTCCATTTCTATTTGTTTCTTTTCAAGTCAGCCTGGGAACAAACTTTTCCTCCATAGTCAGTGCATTGTCATTGGCTTAATAGTTATGTTAGACTGACCTGGATATGCTGATGCATTACTTGGACTTGAGCCTGAAATTTAATCTCTCCACTATTTTTTCCCCCAAATATTTTTCTTAAAGGTAAATTTAAAGTGTAGAGAATCTTAAGTATGGATTGTTCTTTTCCATCACTTAGTGCGTATAATGGTAAAGAGAATTACAGAGTTCATATTTAGAGTCAGTTAAGCATGGTTTAAGAGCAGCTCTGTAAATGGAGTGAGCTATCATATGTAATTCTGGATTTAAATCCTTCAGATGTGCATATAAGGTTTGCTTTATTCCAGATTAAGTTAAAAACCTGAAAGAGGCATCTGATTCGGTTGAGGAAAACTTGACGTATATTGAATTGTCAGTATTCTCTGAGGGTATCTTTCATCCTAACTGTCTGGTTTGGGAGCTAGAAGACTGTTTTTAGTCACTAACACTTAGGAAATTGTTTTACAGATACCACGAAAGTCAGTTTTCAGACCATGACTGGCCTATTCATAACAACTATGAAGCTGATGAAGTTCAGCGTGATCCAAGGGCTCTTTCTGATGTTACTGATGAGGAAGAAGTGCAAGTAGATCCTCGCAAATATTTGGATGGAGATCGTGAAAAGTATCTGGAGGATCCTGCTTTTGATACCCACTTCTCTACTGAGCCTTGCTGGCAGTATTCAGATCATCATGAAAACAAGTATTGTGATCTGGAATGTAGTCACACTTGTAATTACAAAATGAGGTCATCTTCATACCTAGATAATTTAGTTTGGCGAGACAGTGAAGTTAACCATTACTATGAGCCCAAGCTTATTATAGATCTTTCGAACTGGAAGGAACAGAGCAAAGAAAAGTCTGACAAGAAAGGCAAGTCTAAATGTGAAAAGAATGGATTGGTGAAAGCTCAGATAGCACTTGAGGAAGCATCACAGCAGCTTGTTGAAAAAGAAAGGGAGAAGAATCAAGGATTTGACTTTGATTCGTTTATAGCAGAAACCATTCAGCTTAGTTTACAACATGAGTCTACTGATATTGATAAATTAAATGACTTGAATAGCTCAGTGTCTCAACTAGAGTTGAAAGGATTAATATCAAAGTCGGTGAGCAGAGAGAAGCAGGAGAAAGGAATGGCTAATTTGGCACAGTTAGAAGCTCTGTACCAAACTTCTTGGGATAGTCAGTTTGTAAGTGGCGGGGAAGAGTGCTTCCTCATAGACCAGTTTTGTTGTGAAGTAAGGAAAGATGAACAAGTTGAAAAAGAAAATACTTACACCAGTTATTTGGACAAATTTTTTAGTAAGAAAGAAGATGCTGAAATGCTAGAACCTGAGCCAGTAGAAGAGGGGAAGCCTGGGGAGAAGGAAAGAGAAGAGAGCTTTCTCAGTAACAGTGGAGAGCTGCTCTTCAACAAGCAGCTGGAGGCTATAGGTATTCCTCAGTTTCACAGCCCTGTTGGTTCGCCCCTGAAGTCAATACAGGCCACGTTAACGCCTTCTGCTATGAAATCATCTCCCCAAATTCCCCACAAAACATACAGCAGCATTCTGAAACATCTAAATTAAAACACTCAGCAGACATTTCTTTTATATTCATGAGGTGTGTTTGTCTTTTTTTATTACTAGTGTAAGTAATTTTTTTACTTGAATCAGATGGTGTAATTTTGGTATGGATTTCATTAGCTTTCTGTTTACCATTGTTTTTACAATCCAGAATTACTTTCTATACATAAGTTAGTTTTGTTTTTAAACTGGCATGTCGTTTGCACACAAAATTAAAGAATAGAGCAAAATAATGCAAAATGCAGGAGGTAACAAAAAATGCACTAAACCAAGTTAAAAAAAAAAAAAAACCATTCTCTCAGAAAAACAGTGTCCATGTTTTGCAGAAAAAGAATCTTGCCTTGAAATTTACACAGTGAGACTGTACATAATTGCATGAAAATATCTATTTTTCCCAAAACATTTTTTCATTCATGTGTATTTTAGAGTTTTTCATACTGTACACATTTCTTAGACACATGATACCAGCAGCAACTGAAATGAATGCAGAATTTGGTACGCATGTGTTATCTACCTCAAGGTAACAGCAGTATGTGGCAAAACATTAACCACCCATAGTGCTTCTCATTATGCACTTCTATTTAGCCAGCATTATTGTAGTAGCTATTCTTATTGAAAAATCATTCAATATTTATAAATGTTCTGGTATGCATTCTTTATAGTGAAGTGTTAATATGCAGCACTTTTATTTATTTTAGCAAATAAGTATATTTCTGTAATTATAGAAAGTCAACTTAATTTTTGAGTTACTTTTCAGATAAAAAGTTTGTTTAGCACTATGGTTTATTGCCTACATAGCTGAAATATATATTAACATCGGCTTATTCTGAGGCTATCCAATGCATCTTTTTTGTTTTGTTTTTCATTTCAAGTAAAGCACTCACTGTGTATAGGAATTTGTAATTGGAGGTGCTTGATCTCTACAAAAGAAATTAGGAATTGCTTTATTATAAAATGCTCCTAGAAGTCTTAATTGTGTTCATTTTTAAAAATTTTTGTAATGTTAGTTGTGTGCATGGAAATAATTAAGGTACAACATTACTGTAGGTTCAAGTTCTATATGGTGAGACATTTTGTTTTTACTGTATGTTTTTACTGAATGATTCCTGTCCCACTCCCTACCTCCCTCAAAAGCAAGCATGAATAAAATTAGGTTAAATATAGCATGTAGCATCTCAGTCTTTTGAAAATTTGTTCTACCTTCTGATTTTTTGAAATACTGGATGTATCATTGGCTCCCCTGTTTAAAACAAAAGACAAATAAAAACATGGCCAGCAAACGTGACTGTTGTTCTTGATGCTTTGTATAATGAGAAATAAACAGCTGCCGCAGTAATGCAGCCGTCCGTATTACGGAGGCAGGCCTGCTCGCCTGGAGCCGGTAGCTCGGCGGTACTCGCGGAAGCGTGAGCGGGTGTGGTGTGGCCTGCCCTCGACCTGCCTGGCGCTGGGCACGCAGAGCCCTGGCCCTAGCTCCCGAAGCACGCGTCCGTCCGTCCCGGGTCGACGGCTGCAGCCTGCACCTAACCAAGTCTTGGGTGATGGTGTATCTGTGAAAGCGTAAGTATGCGGTAGCATCTCTAACGATGTCTGTCGAAAAAGGCAATGGAATTCCTGGATTTAAGTGAGCATTACTGTTTCATCAGCTGTTTAGACAGAATATCACCCCAGTGGAAAACGGCTGAAAGAACATGTGAGCCCTGTCGTGTCGCTGGCAACCTGGAGTGAAGGTAAACGTACAGGTCCCTCAGCCGAGAAAATGACTGGAGCGCTTTCCTGAGGCGATTCCCGAAGTAGGACCAGGTAACTGCTGTTGGATGTTTTGAAGCGCGCAGACCGCGTTTCTGTTTTGGCAAGCCTTAGGAGTAGCAGCACGTGTTCCTTTTCCAGTTCCTCGTGTTGAAACCATTCCTGCCGGAGCTCATTAGCCATACAATAAAGCTGCATCTTTTGGCAAACTCCCACTACTTTTTCCATGGCAGTGCTGTAGTTCTTCCACCTTTTTCCACCCCTACTCCTCTGGCAGGTAGCAGAGCCTACAGCTCTCTTAAAAGGGGGAGCTGCAACTTAAGACATGGCAGAAAATGGACACTTTGGGAGACAGGGCACAGTGTATCTTCTTGGATACATTAGGAAACTGTTTAGAAAGCCACATCATTTCCTGAGTATGGAGCTGTGGGGGGGAGGAAACGTGTTTGTCCTTTCTCCTAGGGGGAGGGACTGTTCAGAAGTGGTGTGATAGTCAGGTTTTTCTGAGATTGGATGAAAGCAGTGGGTGGGGAGCACTTGGAAACTAGAAACAAAATTCAGCCTAAGGACACACTTTGCGCAAATGAAGCGTGTGTGTGTTTCATTTTTTTTTTTTCCTTACAAAAAAGAAAATAATGTCTAAGAAGCTTGTGATTGTCAAATGCAAATCAGCTGTCAAACCTAAATCCAGTGCTGTACTTCACTGCCCTTGACAGCTCGCTGTGCTGGGAGAAACGCAGTGGGGATGCTTCTGGCTTCTTGGGGTGAAAACAGTGCTCTCAAAGAGGCTGCCTTCCCTGATAGTTGGAGGGTACGGCTCGTCCGTCTTGCTTATTACGTAGAAGTAATCCCCTTTGAGGAGGTGATTAAAGAAAGTGGAATCGCTTCATAAGGATCATGCCAGCTTAAATCTATGGCTAGAAAATGAAGATAATCAGAACATGGAGTTTGGTTCTTCCCAGGCAAGATACAGAAGCTTTGTTTTGGGAGAACGCGGGGAAAGCGTAGGGTTGCCAGGAGGGCTCCCGGGAGCAGAAGGCTGTTCTTGCCCTGGGCTCCTCCGCCGTGCCCAGCCCTGGAGCAGAAGGTACGACAGCTCTATGAGCGCTTCTTCAGCTGCGGCCTGGCAGCTGAGCTGCCTGAAAACAAATTATGGAAGAGGCTTAAAGTATAAGCCAGATAAAGGCACCACTGTTCAATGCCAAGGTGCTTGCCAACTAAAATGAGCACCCTTACTTAACAACAGCATAAGAAATGAGGATACGAACCAAATTTTAAAAATACCTCTTCTTCTCCTAAGTGGTGTTGGGTTAGAAGGCAGCATTTTAAAGTAGATCCAACTTGAGCTAGAAGAGATGCTGTTCACCCTTATTTGATAGGCCAGGACAGAGAGTGTAAAACGCACTGTCATCAGATGAGATCTAATAATTGCAGCCTGGCACAAAGAGGAACAGTTTGTTCGGAGCAGCAGTTCTCGGTCGTGATCAGTTAACTTTCTCCCAGTTGTACTAGATTTCAATTAGGTAAGATTTACTATTTATGATCTCATATATTGACGTAAGATTTTCTTTGCGCTGCTGCTGGTGGTAGGACGGCAGCGGGAGCAGCGCATCTCTGCCAGCCTCGGCGAGGAGCGCGGCTGGTGCCAGAGCCGCCGGGGAGGGAGGCGGGCGGCAGCTCCGCGCTCCCTACCGCTGCTTCCCCTCCGCCCTCCACGCCCTCCCTAGGCAGGGGAAAATTAGTTGGACGTGTCTACGTATGCAGCAATGAGACCTCTGCTTACAGCTGCATTTGTATCCTCAAATGCATGCTTTTAACCTTGTTTTTACCTTCTTTTCCTGTTTGCCTTGCTATTGTGGTTCGGTTTGCTGTGCTGCAGCAGTTCTTAGAGCTTCGCCTGCTACAAAAATTGAAAGTCCTGCTAAATTCGCACTTTAATCTGGCTTATCGCCTGGAGGCATTATTTTAAGGACGGGTTTTTACCGCCTTTTTTTCACAAGGTGTGTTTGGGGGAGGGGGGACGGGGTTTACCTGGCTTCCTGCTTGCGGTGTTTTTCTTCCGTGCGGCACTGATGCTGGTCTGCAGCGCTGTGGGCTCTTTGTTGCTGCTCCTGTCTTTCACGCTCTGTGAGGATCGGAGCTAGCAAGTTTTTCCAAATGTGGAGTTTTTGTAGTTGCTAGGCCGCAGGCATGAATACTGCGAAATTCAGGGAGGTTTTTAGTGAGGCTCCTGAGGAACCCAGTGGCACGCTGTTGTACAGATCATTTTGGGGTGCAAGTACAGGGGAAAAGATCCCTGAACTGAATCTGTTCTCACAAACCTTTTCCCCTGCATTTATGACCCTGTTGCTGTCCTGTTGCTGAGAGTTGGAAGTGCTTGTCCACCTTTTGGTTAGGTTTTGCACATAATTAAATAATGGACCGGCCGCATCCATGGAAGAAAGGCACAGCAGTCCTGAGCCAGCTTGTTCTTTACTCCTCGCGTTATTTTTGTGCTTACATCATCTTGCGAATTCTTGTCTGCTCTTCTACCACGGTTTGCGTCAGACTTCAGCTGAACAATCCATGAAGTAACTCTGTGGTGTATTTAGTAACAAGCTCTGTAATCAAGGTCACCGTCTATACCCAGAACGCTTATGCTTTCATTCAAGTGTTTCTATATTTAATGGTTATCTATTTTACTCTGAGTGTTATTTGAGGACTCCTTAAAATATTGACTGTTGAAAAGCCCCATGGCTTCCTCCTTTTGCCTGGGAATTGGTATTACTGATGATAAAAATCTGCATGCACCAAACAGTATTTGGGGGGGTAGCGCCTGCGGACGTGGGGATAACCGGGTACCGCCACGTTCTGAAAACAGTTTTGCCGATAGCTGGCGGTAGCTGTTGCATAGTATAATCGTCTTTCCTCTGGAAGTCGTCTCTCGCGTCCTGCCTGCGAAGCAGGCCTTCTCCGGTGACCGCTGATAATAGCATTCCTCTTGTAATCTGTGTGCTGTTCTACCGCAGCCAAAATTACTTTTAACCTTTATGTCACCTAGCTAGAATGTTACAGCTGTTATGAAATAAGAAAATATGTTTTTTGCAGCTGAGTGCAGGACAGTGAACCTCCGACTTGTCCGGGTCAGAGCCAGCAATACTTTTGCCTTGCACAACCCATTTACACTCCCTGAATTTGTTTCCCCTTTTGCTAAATTAGTTATTCACCTGTGATACAGATACTGTCAGGCATTGGTGGATGTGTTGCTCCAGAAACGTTTGAAGAAGCAAGTGTTACTCGTGGTGTGTTCGGGGAGGATTACAGACATTTTTATCATTTTTTCTGTGTGATAATGAATTCATTCTTACCCCCGAGCTGAGTGCAGTATGGCTCCATCTCTGACTGTAGCCTCTCTCCCTGCGACAGAAGGGTTAACAGATTTATCAGAAACCAGCTGGAATGAAGGTCCTTTGCATAAGGCACAGCTATATGGAAAGAGACATGCAGAAGGACCTCTCCTCCTGCACACCTCGCTTATTTGGGTAAAGCTACCCTTACTGCTAATCTGCTCTGTACTGCTGTTTCTGTAGTAAGGAATCATTACTAGATTGCTGGTTGTTTTTTTCAGTTATTGGTTTTATTTCATAATTGTCCAAATTTGCTATTCTTCTAGATTATTTGTGCCTTCAATTACAAGTTTGATTTTTGAAAGTTTTTTATATCATCTGGTTTAGGGTTAGTATGTTCTTCCAGTGATCATTTGTGCCTGGGTACAGTCCAAGACGTGTAGGTTGTGTCCTGTCTTCTTGGGTGAAGATTATGGGACAATCTCAGAACACATATGAGGTCTAACAAAATACAAACTTTTCTTTATGTTGGAATTTTGCCATGTTGCTCAAGACATACCCCAAGGCTCCGGTGCTGTAAAAGGTGGGGGATTCTTTGCTACGCTAATCCCAGCATGACTGCTGCAAGAAACACAGAAATCCAGTCATTTAGCAGCACCATCTTGCTGATAAAGGTGTCTGTACCGCACAAGTGCAGTCATGTTGGAGCTTCTGTTTTACAAGATGGTTGATCTTAATCCACTTACAGACACGCTTTTAGTCTGCAGCCTTGGAAAGACTTTACGTGTCGATGTTCTGCAACCAGACTCTGGTAATAAAATGTTGTTTTCTCATTCAGTATTATTGGGGATGCAATTCCAGGTGGATTAGAACTTAAATGTGCAGTGTCAGTAGCTGTTTGAAGACAGCACTTCCCTTCAATGTCTTTCTTGAATTTTATCGTTTTTAATTGTTTAAAGCCATAGAACTGAATGACAGATTTATTATGACTTCTGTGTTTCTGTTTGGATATAGATTTAAATAGTGCAGTTCTTGAAATAGCTAGATAACTAGCAGGGACATTTTTAAAACCTATGATTAAGAAAGCAGATGGGTTTGTTTTTTATTTTGTGTCATGTCTGCCTTTTTTGAGACTTTTTTTTTTTGCTAACACTACAAAGTCTTTTTTTTTATCAAATTCAGCATTGATTCACATTTAAAGATTAAGTTA